TCAAAAGGCCGGGGTCTCCGCAGCTACGGCGCCACCAACCCTGAGGGGCAGGAGCGCATCCTAGAGATGCCCAAACCTGCGCACCCCTCCATGACATCTACACCCTCAGAAATGACCCTCTCTGGAAAGAGGCACTTGGTGTTGCCCAGGATTCGAACTTGTACCCTGAGCCTGACTATATGTGTGTCCAGGGTTCTTCGGGTGGAACACCTTGGTGGAGGAAACCTACCTGCGCCTCACTGCATCCGGCGCCTCCTTCGCCAAAAGGATTTCCCCCGGGACATTTGCATATTACGTGGGGCTTCAAGCCATCGCGAGGGTTCTCGAGCTCTCAGATTTGAGCCCCCGTGGTACCACAGTCCCTGGGAGAGACTTAATCCGCGCAATGAAGTATGCTGGAACCCACTTCCCGGAGCGAATATCCCTCTTCCTCTCCGGATTGGGTGACGCCGCGTCTTTAGGCGGAGTGAAATACATCTTCACAATGCCAAGCCTAGAGTATGCCGTTGCCAACAACAACACCCCTGGTTGGTATGGACGTTTGGCCAGAACACTCACTGGCTGTACATGGCCTACCCATCATCAGGCCTAGCGGCATCCCGCATCATGGCGGAGCTTGGTAACGTCAACGGACGTTGGCCCTTGCCCGCGGACATGAACCCACTGGAGGAAGGAGCAGGCCTTCCCACCCAGAATATTGTGGGTTATGGGCAAGTGGAGCCTCTGGAACCAGCGGCACGTGAGGCCTTGCTTCGCTGTGGGGTAGCCCCCAAACTGTTCCCAACTGAGAACCCCACCATAGCTCTGAACCACGGCATCCTGTCACTGGTCGACGGGGAGCTGATCTCCATACATACATACATATACATACATACGCCGACCGTGCTGCCACGCGTCGCGCGAGCTCCGCGTCTTTCGCCTTTGGCATCTGTTTAAATGTCCTTAGACATGCCATTTTTGGTACCAGCGGGAAGCCCGGGATCTGCTGATGTAGTGCCAGAAAGGCCCAGCAACGTATCCCAATCGGGTGAAGAAATATCACCGGAAAACCGCCTTCAGAAGAAGGCATCTGAAGAAAAATCTAAAAATCAAAATCATGCAAATTCGCCGGCAGGCGTTAAGCATGTAAATTTGGCCGCCGAGCACGACGCCAACGAATGCTGCTTCTTCCAGCGCAAATTCGGCCAATCCGGCCTGGCGGAGTTGGGGAGACACCGAGATGGCAGAGGTGGAATCCAACGACGGCTACACCCTCGTCAGAAACAAGAAGAGGCGCCTCGGCTCACCGTCATCTGAGCACGCTCCAAGGCAGCCCAACAAGCCTGGAGAGCAGCGCGGCTCCCAACAGCATAAGCGGCCAACAGGGCCGAGGAAAGTGTCGCCCCAGGAGATCAAGGCGAAACGCAAGAACATCGCCGAGGCCAAGGCGAGGCAGAACTCATCTACACGAAAACTACATCTTTGTGGAGCTGTGCCCAGAGATCCCGGACTACACCTACCTAAAGGCAATGTCCAAGCTGGTCGGGGGGCCAAATAACATCACACAATTCAACAGAATGTACGGCCACTACATCGTCGGCCTCGCGAGCATGGACCTTGCGAGCCGTCTGGTCGTGGACGGCCTGGAGATTGAGGGAACGTCCCTCAAGGTCTTCCCCTTCCGCAAGAGGGCAGAGCGAATAGTTGTGGCCAACCTGCCCAGCTTTGTGGAGGACTTCACCGTCGTGAACGCCCTGAGCCCATACGGGAGGGTCACCTCCATCGCCCCCATCCTGGTCAAAATGGAGGAGTTCACCTTCACCGACGGCCGCCGGGAGGCCTTCATCCTGCTCAACGACGGCATCAAACTGGACAGGCTGCCCACCCGCCTGGACGTCAAGTCCAAGGGAGACTCCGTGCCGGCCTTCCTCTCCTTTGGCATCAAGTGCTCAAAATGCGGGAAACAGGGCCACCGCAGAGCCAACTTTTTTTTTTTTTTTTTTTTTTTCAAATATTTTTCTATTAAACCTAAATTACTGATTGATATTTAATTCCTAAAACAATAAGCGAGCTCCGCCGTTTTCGCCTCTGGCGAGCGGGAAAATGTCGCGAATAGCGACGAATTCGGTACGGGCTGAAAGCCCTTCAAAAGCTGCACAAAAGCCTGTAAGGCACAGCACACAAGCTCTAACTTGCGCCGAATTATCTGCGAATGAAGATCTGCAGAGGAATATTTCAAATAATCTACGCGCAAAGCAAAGCTATGCAAATCCGCCGACAGGCGTTAAAGATGCAAATCTGGCCGCCGTGCGCGGTGACGTCACGACCGGCTCGGCAGCTGCCACGTCATCTAATGGCGCTGCCCGTGTCCTGGGAAACTGGGCGGACTACACCGAGGACCAAGGCCCTGGAGAGGACGACGACTTCACCGTCGTCAAGAATAAGAAAAGGCGCCGCGACTCGCCGGGTTCTCCTGCAGCGGCTGCACCTTCCTCTGGCACCAGAGGCGCAGGGGCCACTCGCCGGCCACGATCGTCCACGGGATGGGCACCGCGGGCGGAGGAGGTCAGGACCACTAGGGCGCATATCGCGGAGGCCAGGCGCGGCAGGCGTCTTCAACCGAGGACCACTGCGTCTTCGTTGAGCGCAGCCCTGAACTGGAGCCCTACCATTACCTGAGGGCCGTTGATCGAATGTTCGGGAGCACCAGGGAGGTCTTCCAGGTGACCAAAATGAACGGCCACTTCCTGGTGGGACTGGCAAACAGAGGCATGGCCGAGCGCCTCGTCAACGAGGGCCTCGAGGTGGAGGGAACCCCCATAGGGCCTTCCGTTTCGCAAGAGGGCGGAGCGAATTACAGTGGGCAACCTCCCCTTCTTCGTGGGGGATGCAGCCGTCATCAGCGCCCTTTCATCTTTTGGGCGGGTCACATCTATCGCCCCCAAGCTGATGAAGGCTGGCCCATACGTCTACAACGACGGCCGCCGAGAGGCGTTCATCATCCTCCGCGAGGGAATGACCATCGAGAGGCTGCCCACCCGCCTCGACCTCTCAATCAAGGGCGAGGCCTGGCCCGCATACCTGTCCTCCGGGATTAGGTGTTCCAGGTGCCGTGGCCAAGGACATCGCAGGGCCAACTGCCCCCTGCTTGCAGGGCGAGCCACCGCTCCTGGACCGGCCACACCAACCTCTCCCACCAGCGTCCCACCAGTGGCCGCTCCCGGGCTGCCTCAGCAGCCATCTGCCCATCCTCCACCTCTGGCGTCACCCAGTCAAACCATGGAGACCCCCAGCGCTTCTCCTGCGGCCCGAGCTCTGACCCCACTTGCAGCACCTCGGCCATCTACACCAGTGGCCCCAGCCGTACCTACGGAGATGGCGCCTCCTGCCCCTCCACCTGTGACCCCTGCTCTGTCCCTGCGGGCACCTGGGAGTCATGAGCCTGCAGTCCCTACACTGGACATTGAGATGACTGTCATCGAGGAGACATCAACATCCTCCACATCCTCGTCAAAAACATCAACGAGAGAAAGCCTCGTGACGTTCATAGATAGGAACCCAGGCGTCTCCTTTGCCCAGACGGACGCCCTTGGCCTCGGGCGGGAGGAGGTCTTGGACCTCCTCTCCTCAAGGACCAAGGCACATAAGCGTGGTCGCCATCTGACCCCTCCGCAGAGCAATGCTCTTGCCGGCCTAATAAACCAAATCCTCGACCTAAGGCCCGGAGGAAGTAGCAACATTTATAAGGTCCTGCGACAGGTCATTTCAGAGCTGAGAACCGGTCCAGCCACAGTGCCTCCTACATCCACACTGCCTGCGCCTCGACCATCTCATCCAACGCCGCTCACTTCCACCAAGACAAAACTGACACCTGCTATGATAACACCCCCGCCGCCCGCCCCGACGGAGATGGAGGAGGACGTTCCGATGACGAGGAAGAGCGATGTGTACCCCCACTGCCTGCGCCTCGGCTCGCTGAGCCAACACCGCCCACTCCCCAGGGGCAAAAGACAACACCGGCTATGGCCACACCTCCGCCTCCACCATCTGTCCGTATGGAGGACAACTCGGAGCCGGACTGTTGGACGGACTTGGTGGATTTAATAGATGAACTGATCCATGGTCCCGGCTTGGAGCCCATTCTCCGTGCGTTCGACGCGGACGAGTTCGTGGACGTGGTCCGAGACCCTGAGATGTGGGAGTGCGTGGTCGCAGAGCTCTCAAGGCAGCAGAAGAAGATGGTCGCCCAATTCCTAGATGGGCTCATCGAGCGCACTGGGACTCGGTTCCCTTGATCCGTAGGAGACTATCGGAGTTCAGGGCTGCTTTGCCATCCTATGATCCAGACCCTCCCTGAGGACACCCCTTTGAAAAAGTTTCCAAAAGGAATTATCCGTGCTCAGGCCTGGGCTCCTGACAGAGTCAGGATAATTGTAATTAATTAATTGTAAATATTTTCCCTTTGAGACTCTTTGAGTGTAACCATTGACTGAACGGTCAATAAAGTCTGTTTCATTGTCATTGTCAAGGAAGCCGGCACCTGCGCCCGCAACACATCTGATGCCCCAGATATCCGGGACCAAGGGCCCTCCAATATCATCAACATGGAGGTCCCGTTGGATCCTTTTATGCTGGATCCTTTATCGGCCAAACAGTCGAGGAGTCAGGGTTTGGGAAAGACTTCACCAAGCCAGGGTACCTCAACGACCTTAACGACTTCCTAAACCAGGCGTTGACACCCCAGAAGAAGAGTTCGGAGCTTACGGAGGCTTTCCACGACTCCCTAGCCACCATACGGCGAGGGAGTAAAGTCTTGATTTTCATAAATATAAAAACTGTAAAGAATCGGAAAATACTTGAGCGAAATGTGGTAGCAAGGGCCACATTTCTAAATCATGTACTAAAACAGAAAATTGTAAAAAAGCTAATAGTAAAAATCCTACACTTAAATTGAACATACATACATACATACATACATACATACATACATACATACATACATACATACATACATACACATATACATACAATCTCTTCAGAGTAGCTGTTTGTGAGCCTGTCCTCCGGCAAATACACGACGCAGTGATGGGGACCGAGGCGTTTTCAAAATCCCAGTACCCTTTTCAGACAACCCTCTTTATATAGCTGACCAAGACATCTTCATCCAATGGGATGGCCAGGACGGGGGAGTAGAGGGCCATCTCCAACTCGATTGGATGGAGGTGTACTATGGGCAGATTCAAGCGGCATTTAGAGGGTTGCCTGTTATAGTTAGGATACTAGTTAAAGGCGACGACCTGAGAGCCATTATTGGGATTCCCCAATACATAAAGGATGATCCCAAATCTGTAGGATTTGACACTTTTGAGGAGTATACTGAATTCTTAAAGAAGAAAGTGTCGGATGCCATATCAAACTTTGGCCACGAGATAAACACAAACGAGAGCTACTTGTCGAGCAAATTCTTTGCTTTCTCGAAGAATTATTATTACGAAGATTGTATGCTACACATATACATACATACATATACATACATACACGAGGCGAGCGGCCACGCTATTTTTAGCTTCGCCGTTTTCGCCTCTGGCGAGCATTGGAATGTCGCGGAAGACAACGAATTTTATATTGGCTGAAAGCCCACATCGAGCTGTACATCGATTTTAAGTAGCGGATGTCATATTCCCACTACTAGCTACTTAAGCTATAATCTTACTGCCTTAATGGTTTTCAGCTCTCATCCTACGTGCTCAGGTACAGACTGCCTGTCGGAGATTTTGCAATGGTTGGAATCTCACCCTGGCGGCCAACTTGACATCGCTGGATTGAAAACACAACTTCTTATCCTAACTGTTATCCTTGCTTTGTTGTTAGTTATGGTGTACTGCCTTCTATGCATAAAATTTCTAACTTTTCGTGCGCGTTATGCGTATCGCGCCGTCGACAACGCATTGTCTGTGACTGCCATGTAGATGCCCCGACTGTGACAACTGTACATGAGACTGGAAGGCTCGGCTCTGATAACAAAGCTGTTGCGGAGATATCCGCAAAAAATCATCAAGTTGAAGAATCAAGAATGAAAAATTCAAACTGCACCTATGCAAATTTACCCGCAGACAAACAGCATGCAAATTTTCCCGCAGCTTGCGCCGCTGATGCCACGCCTTCAACAAGCGGCACTGTGGGCGCTGCGCGAACTGGGCCGAACGAATGGAGGCCTCGGAATCTGGTGAAGAAGGCTTCACCGTGGTGCGATCCAAACGAAGATGTAGGGAGTCGCCAGGCCGCGCCGTTGAACAGCGCTCCAGCGGTATCAGCGCCTCTGGAAGGACCGGCGCAACCCCGCGAAGACGACCACATGCGGCAAGAACAACAATGGTCCAGCAGATCAGGGCTTCCCGGGCTGACATCATCGACGCCAGTTGCAGACTGCGCAAAGTAGGGAGGCCTGACGGCTACCTACATGTGCCGATCAACACCTCCACATGGTGCGCCCTGGGCGTCTCTTAACCAGAGTACGGCTAAACTTGACAGCTTGTCAGACAGACTGGAAAGACAGCTATGTGATGGCTACCTTGGGGACCGGTGGTAACCATGACATTATTGAACTGGAACACCATCTTTCATGAAATACAACAAAGTAAGCCCAAGAAAGATGACTAGCGAAGCCGAGCTAACGGCCGGTACACCAAATGAAGTTGAGCTAACGGCCAACACCCCCTATGAAGTCGAGCTAACGGCCGACACCCATACTGAGATGGGTCAGCACGCACGCCCTGCTAGGACTGAGGTCCGAAAGGCCCCCAGGGATCTGATGCCCCAGATACCCGGGACCAAGGGCCCTCCAATATCATCAACATGGAGGTCCCGTTGGATCCTTTTATGCTGATTGATCCTTCTTCTGAGGCGAGAATCGCCCAACAGTCGAGGAGTCAGGGTTTGGGAAAGACTTCACCAAGCCAGGGTACCTCAACGACCTTAACGACTTCCTAAACCAGGCGTTGACACCCCAGAAGAAGAGTTCGGAGCTTACGGAGGCTTTCCACGACTCCCTAGCCACCATACGGCGAGGGAGGAAAGTTGGGAACGTTCACCCGAACATCCTCGAGCAATGCTTCGATAAGCTCCTCAATAAGCATAGGGCAGCCATTGAAGAGCTCGAACTCCTGCGGGTGGAAAAGCGGAAGCTTGAGGAGAAATTCCTCAGTCCAACCACCCTGCAGTACGGCATAGAGAGAGGAGTGGCAGCGGCTCTTGCAGAGTCGCTAAAAATAGCTGAGGTTGAGGTATGTCCTCCCCATGACGCTTCCCCAGTCCTCCCTAGGCGAGAGTCGCCCGCCCACCACGAGAAGACGGAAGAGCCCACAAGGGCAACGACCTCGAGTTACTGCCCTGAAGTAGAGGGGGTCCTGGTCAAAACACCAACTAGGACCAAAGAGGCCGCTCTGCCATCTCCCCCAAGACAGCCTGTTCATACTGAGAACAGTGAGATGGCAGAAAAAGATAAAAGGGAAAAGAAGAGGAAGAAGAGGGACAGGAAGCCGACGAGAAAGAGGAGGATGGAAGAACAGAAGAGTCGGCAAATGAGAAAGAGGACCCACCAGGAGCGAAGCCCACAGAGGAGAAGAAAGAGCCTCCTCCCCCGAAGATCAGGGCTGATGAAGTAAAGGACCCCCCTAAGGCGGCGAAAACAAACAAGCCGGAACCTCCAAGAAAGACCAGAGCTGAGAAGGACAAGGAACCGCCCAAGGCAGACAAGCCCACCAAGCCGGAACCTCCAAAGAAGTCCAGGACTGAAGAGGAAAAGGGGCCCCCCAAGGCAGCCAGGTCCACCAAGTAGGGACCCCCAAAGAAGACAGGGACCAGGGAAAACAAGGTTCCCCCCAAGGCGGCTAGGAGTACCAGGCCAGAACCTCCAAAGGTCAAAGGCCCCCCTAGATGGAACGAGGATCTGACCCTGGTAGTTGAGTGGAATGAGGGAGCAGGGTCTGGGTTAATGCTCGCGGTACTGAAAAGCACCGCTGGTAGCATTCCTGGGAACCGCTATGACCTCAAAATAATTCGGGGTGGGGGTGCGGTGGCCCTCATTTTGAAGAACCCCGAGGACAGGAAACTGGCCATGGAGGCTATAGAGAGGGTGCCTGCTCTGAGGCTTGGAGGCCTCAAGAGGGCCAGGAGGGAGCTGATCCTCTTAGGTGTCAACTCTGACATTAAAGAGGGGATGCTAAGAGAAATGGTGGTGCTCCAAAATTCGGGGTGTGGGGACTTCTTGGAAGGATATATGAGATTGTATCAAAAGAGAACAAGGAGGCCCTACGCCACGAATTGGGTCATTTCTGGCTTAAAGGAGGCACCATGAAATTCCTCTTGGGCAAGAAGAGGTTGAAAATAGGTGCAAGGATGGTACCTATCAGGGTGAACGACGCGGTGTCGACCTGCTTCAGGTGCCTCAGGGCCGGTCATATTGCAAGAACCTGCGAACACCCTAAGAGGTGTGGGAGGTGCGAGGGCGTACACTCCCCAGAGCAGGGTTGCGACATGAGGCCGGGATGTTGGCTCTGCTTAGAGGCCAATAAGAGGTACGGCAGGAAGTATGACTGATCATCGCCCCCGGAGTACGCAGTGCTCGGTAAAGGCCTGGTATGTGAATGGGAGGCAATGGTAGAGGGGCCAAATAAGGAGGTATGGAGGTTTGTGCAGCTAAATTGCGCCCATTCGAGGGGGAGCTCCGAGGAGCTAGACCGGATCATTAAAAGTGATCACCCTCACGTTATCAGGTGCAGGAGATGTACCTGGAGGATGATGGGAGGATGGGTCTAAATACTCGATATAGTTTCTTCTCTAGTGAGTGCAAAAAGGCTGCCTTACTGGTCCGGGGAGACCTTCCTTGTCTGGGATGTGGGTCCTGGGAGGGGGCGGCGGCTGTACAGATCGAGGCGGCGGATCTAAAATTGGTCTGCCTCTCTGTGTACATACCACCTCAGGACAACGATCTCGGTAGGCTGGACTTCCTAAATTACCTTTTGGTCCAGAAGGAAGGGCACAAGATTGTGATTGGCGGGGATTTTAACGCGCGCACCCAGCTGTTTGGGGACAGGGAGGAAAATCGCAAAGGAAGGTCTCTGGTCGATTTAGTTATCGGTCAGGGTCTGGAAGTTTGGAACGTCTATGGTGAATCAACGTTTGCCACGGTAAACGGTGAAAGCATAATAGACTTCTTCCTGGCAAGAACAAGCAGGATGCGGCGTTTGAGGTGGGAAACGGACCCCACGGACGTAAGCGACTACAAACTCATCAGGTTTGAAGCCAGTTGTGATGTGGAACCGCCATCAGTGGAGAGAGCTCCTCTGTATCAGGGGGCCTAACCTTGAAAGATTCAGACGCCGGTTCGTTTGCACGCTTGAGGGTAGCCTGACTGGAGCTGTTGACGGAATTGCTATTGATAGCATGGTCAATGAGCTTCACCAGGATATAATCAACACGTGTCGAGCGCTGGGGCCTGGAAAAGTTACCACATTTAAAAGGCTTAAACAGCCTTGGTGGACAGAGGAGTTAGAGATCGAGAGAAAGAGAGTCAGGGCCATGAGGAAACTATTCCAGAACAGCGTAGGCGAAGAAAGGATCAGGAGGGGAATAGCCTACAGGAAAATCTTGGCGTGATATAAAAGACGCACCAAGAGGGCGAAGAGGAGACACTGGAGGGAGCAGTGCAACACCGTACTGGAAATAAATCCATACGTTCTCCCTTACAGGGTTGTTTCTGGTAAGATAAGGAGCTACGCTAACTTGAGGCTGCTTGAAGATGAAGATGGGTTCAAGACCCGGGACCTTAAGGAGACCCTGGACCTCATCTTGGATCGGCATTTTGGAAACGAAGTGCCAGAGGATGAGATTTTGCTGACCACTTGTGGTTTGGTGGATCCGCCCTTTTCTGAGATGGAGGTTAAACGGACGGCTTTCAAGTTCGGGAACAGGAAATCTCCTGAGTCGGACGGAATCGATAACACGATCGTGAAAGCCCTGGTTAGGATGCACCCATCGCTTCTTGCCAGGTTATTCAATAGGTGCCTGGACACTGGTACTTTTCCTAAGGTATGGAAGGTTGCCCGAGTAGTGCTTCTGGAAAAGTCTGGTAGAAAGGGTAATTCCCCTATTGATTATCGTCCGCTTTTGTTACTAGCGTGTCTAGGTAAGGTCCTAGATAGCCAACTAGCTCAGCGTCTGAAGCTGGCTAGAGAGTAATGAGCTCCTTTCCTCTTCCCAACATGGTTTTAGGGAAGGCAAGTCGACAACCACAGCTCTGAACGAAGTATTAGAGGGGGTTGAGATAGGGCTAAATAAGGGTGCTTGGGTTCTTCTCGTGGCCCTGGACATTGATGGTGCTTTCAATTCCATGAACTGGAACAAGCTGATGAGAAATTTGATGGATATGGGTTTTCTGAATAATTTGTGTAGCTTGGTTCGTGACTTCCTGAGGGATAGACGGGTTAGCCTCAGTTTTGATGGACTGAAGTTGGTAAGAAAATGTGCCAGGGGTTGCCCCCAGGGCTCCTGCTGTGGACCTGTTCTGTGGAACATCCTGGTAAACACTGTTTTCCAGGAGGAGCTACCTGAGGGAGCCAGGCTGGTTCTCTATGCCGACGACCAGTTCCACATCATTGAGGCTGCTTTGAGAGCGAAGGTTGAGAAGTGTGTGGAAAACTCTCTCCAAATCCTCGCGAACTGGGCCCACGACTCTGGCCTTAGGTTCAATGTCGCTGAAACTAAAGCCCTCAGCTTTAAGTCTAGGGACATAAGAACCAAAAGAAAAGGGATCAGATGGGAACATAAGCCGGCTATCCGGATGGAAGGACGGAGGGTATCGGTAGTAAATAGGATGACCATCCTGGGGTTTTATTGATGATAAGTTGGGATGGCAATACCACGCGGAGATGGTGGCGAGAGGCAGACAGGCATTGTGCAGGCTGTCACGGTTAGCTCTCAACAGGGGGGGGCAAGGAGGTACTATCTTTAGGAACCTCTACCTTTCCTGTGTCGAGCCAATCCTACTATATGCCTCTAGGGCCTGGTGGCGCCGAAATAAAGATCAGAAGGTGGCAACAACTCTAGAGAGAGTGCAGAGGACAGCGGCACTCAGAATCACAGGGGGATATCGCACTACCAGCACGGAGGCCTTGTTGGTCCTCGCTGGGCTTATTCCCCTGGGTTTGAAACTAGAGGAGGAGGCCATCAGACAGAAAATTTGGGAAGATAGGGAAGACGCCCTGGGCCTTGAAGCGGGTACCTTGGAATGGAAGAGGGACCCAAGGAAGCCTCCGCAGTGGCTGCCAAAGTGGAATTGGGAGTCCTGGAGTGCCAACAGGGATTGGTACGGAGGTCTTCACTGATGGGAGCAAGTCTGGAACCAATACTGGAGCTGGGGTTGTGATCTTCACCAATGGGGAGCTGATCTTCCAAGAAAGCGTAACACTCAGAGTGGACGAACTGGTCTATTCAGCCGAGCTGGTTGCGATCAGGGAAGCCCTCAGAATGTGTGCCGAGAAGAACTTGAGCCCTGACCGCCTCTATTCAGATTGCATGTCGGCCCTGGTCGCCATCAATATGGAGAAGGGGCAACTCGCGCATCAAATCCAGGAGCTGGAGATGATATCGCGGGCTCCAGATCTCCATTGGGTTAGGGGTCACAGCCTCATCGAAGGTAATGAATTTGCAGACAGGCTCGCTAAAGCAGGGTGCTTTAGAGGTAGATCTGTGAGGACTCCTGTGACCAAAAAGGAAGTTTATAGGATCAGGGGGCACGTCCAGGACCTATGGTTGGACAGATGGAAGAGCAGCGACAAGGGGAGGGAGGTATCAAATTGGGTAACAATACCCAAGTACCTATGTAAGGTACTAATTAGGGTAGTTTCGGGACATGGGCCCTTCCCCAGGAGTCTCCACAGATTCAAGATAAAGAGCAATCCTGATTGCGTCTGTGGAGAGAGGGATGTAGACGCACGCCACTACGTCTTGGATTGCTCAAGGGTGGTAGGCGTGCAGGAAGAGAGAAGGAGGGCGAGGGGCGAGAGCGAGCTGCTGAGAAATCACAGCAAGCATCTCGAGAAAGCTCACGATGTGGCAGCTGAGCTCTTTCTCAGCTGCGAATGAACAGGGTCAACAGGTGGCCGCCTTCCCGTGGTCCCAGCTGGACGCAGTAGACAGTTTACTGTTTTGCTGTGACTAAAGGTCACCGGTATATAAATTCTTCCAGACTCGTCATCTGGGAGGTGGTTTTTCCAGGTACAATATTCAAGCACCAGCTTGGATGCCGTTACTTGGCTTATGAGTGGAACAAGATAGCAGCTAAGGGCATGCTTCGCATGCCGGCTTGTGGACCGTAAGGTCTGGGTGGCCATCTGCTCCAGGGGTGCCTCAAGGGGGTGCAGGTCGCGCAACAACTTTCAATTTGTTGTCTTTATAGAGCATTCTCTTGAACCTTTATGAAGATATCTTCCTAACATTAGGAACTGATGTTTTCCGTTGGAGATGCTCCTTTAAATATGTTGTCTTCTATTGTCTTCATGAGCGTTTTCGGCCCTTCATTTGTTGCTTTCATAGAGCATTCATTTTGGCATTGACTTAGAGGCCAATATTGTAATATAATATTGTATATTATATAAAATGTGAACTAAGAGATTGAATGGGCAGACTTGTCTGAAGTGCAGTGAAAACATGTACCAGTCCATCTAAAATTATTAGGTATTTGGTTATTTTATCTACAATTTTTTTTTTGTCGTAGCAATTCCTGTAACTGTTCTAGGAGCAGCTACAATCCAAGAGGAAAATTCTCCTTCTACCACTATGAATTTGGAAAAAAATACATCCCTTCAAAAGGCACACCACCATAGTAATGGAACCGTGAAACAAAGAATGTCGCCAACTGTCTTGTTCTTGGGCACCAACAGTACACAAGGAAGCACTGTTGACCACGCAGTAGTTTACTTGGGGTCGAAGCTCTATATGTACGGCCAAGCTTATGTTGCCCTCAGTAGTCAGATCACTCGAAGGCCTGCTGATAGAGGAATTGGACTGCAACAGATTGACAGGACGGACGCCATGCAATAAGGAAGCACTAACACGCGGCACAGTTCCATCTGCCTGATACCCAAGGCCCGCAGCGATTGCGGCCTCGATGGCTACAGGCCCATCTCGTTGCCCTCGGCTGACTACAGGGTCCTGGCAGCTGTTCTCCTCCGGCGCCTCAGACCCCACCTACGAGCCCTGGTGCAAGACTGCCAGATCTACACTGTCCCCGGGAGGTGGGCCCGGGGCCTTAGTTCTGACTGCACGGAGAGTGGCTAGGACTATGAGTCTGGCATCCGCAGTCCTCGGCTCCCGACTCGCGGGTAGTAGCGGTCTGTACCCAGCAGCCTGAAAGAGGGTGGCTGGAGCTAACTGATCACGACAGATCAATGTGGATCTAGTAGAAGAGTTAGAGATGCTAATAGGAGTCTGTGACAGGGGTGACGCCCAGTTGCAGATTGCGCAAAGTAGGGAGGCTTGACGGCTACCAACATATGCTGATCAGCACCTTCCCGTGGTGCGTCCTGAGCACGTTTCTAACAAAAGCGTGGCCAATGCTGATAGCTAGTCTGACAAGTCTGGAAAGACGGATATACCCAGTTCAGCCTTGGTAACAGGTGGCGGCTGGTGTCATTATCTCACAGGTTACACCCCTAATAATGTCAGCACAAAATAAATCAGTAAATGAGGCTCAGGTAACACCTGAGGAAGACCCCTCTTGCCGTGGAGTGAACGATCTTATCGGAGCTGACGGGCCAGCCCGAGGGTCTAATAACTTCCCATGCACCCCTCTTATTAATAATGTGAATAACTACAGCCCATGAAAACGATACCCAAGGGCCCTCTAAGGAGCTAAGACCCTTGAAGAACGTACGCGAGTGGACGCGTGCTTCAGACGACCCGGGTGACACTCCTCTGACGGTGGAGGAAGCTGTCTTGAAAGGACTCCAGACGCCACTGGAGGAGGCGGGGTCTACCCAGGTAGAAGGGCTGAACCCGAGCAACGCGGAGGAAGTGCCTCTGATCCTTACCTCCACCTTCGAGACCTTGAAAAAGGGCAAGAGGGTGGCGGTGAAGCAGATGGTACTTCTGGAAACCTGCTTCGCCACCTTACTGAACAGGTGCAGGAGCCTGGAGGGATCCATCGCCGAGGTGAGGGAACTCAACAGTGCGCTGATTGCCCTGATACCAGACGAGGGAACCAATATATCATACTTACATAATCTTTCTTTTTCTTCTTCTGTATATTCCCCACTTTCACAGGCCTATCTCTCTTGTAATCTCGGGAAGAATCCTCTATAAGACCAGCGTGTCTTTAAAGGCTTTTGTATGTGTGTGTGATAAGGGAACCTTTGATGGAATGGTTAAGGAGAGCGTGAGGGCCCTTCCCAAAGGACCAACAAAGGCGAAAGAGGGGAGATCCAACAGATGGGATACAACGAGGACGCTCGTTGTTGAGAAAAAAAAGGATGCCGAAGGTTACCTCTTGATGGAAGTTATTAAGAGGCTCGGCGCAGAATCTGGGCATCTAAACTACAAGATGACCCAGATTAAAAAGGGTACGGGGGTGGCCTTGACCTTCCTAAAGGCGGAAGACAAGGTCAAAGCGACCCCACTATTGAGGGAGAGTGTGATCGCCGAATGTAGGGACTTGAGGGAGCGGCCTTTTGAGCTGGTTCTGTTGGGAGCGGACCCCAAACACTCCAGTGAGGAAATACGGATTTCCTCAGACACCAGAACGGCGTCAAACTGGGGGAGAAGGACCGGCTCATTAAGGTCTACACCAGAGGTACTGGAACCCAGACGTGGGTTTTGGTGACAAATGGTGTGATTGGCAACAGGCTGAAAGGCCTAAAGAAACTTGCCATTGGCTTTAGAAGGGTGACAGTAAAGGTAAATATGAGGGTACCTTTCTGTCAGCACTGTAAGGGCATGGGTCACCTGGCGACACAGTGTAGGAACCCATGGCGGTGCTATAAGTGCGAAGGGTTGCATGAGAGGGTAGAACCTTGCCTCGAGACAGTAGGGTGCTGGCTCTGTAAGGAGGCTAAGGAAAGGTCTAAGAAAAAGTACAGGCTGGATCACACGCTAAGATCCAAAGCCTGTGGAGTAAGGAACTGGCATCTCCAGAATCGATCATAGTGACACTGGCACCATATCGGTGGAGTTTTGCCCAGCTGAACGCAGCTAGGGCAAGAAGGGGGAACGAGGAGTTGAACCGACACATGAAAGAGGAGGGATTTCATGTGGTGTCGGTGCAGGAGCCATACATCTCAAGGAACAAAATGTGGGTAGATACAAGGTACAAGACATTCTATGGTGGGTGTAGGAAGGCTTGTATCCTGGTCAGGGGTGACGTTCTTTGCGTTGAGTATGGCTCCTGGAGGGGCGTAATAGCAGTTATGGTTGAGACGGCGGATCTCAAGCTGCTATGCATTTCTGTATACATTTCACCCATTGAACCGGAGCAAGGTGTGCTTGAGTTGCTGAGTCAAATGGTTAGAAATGTTAGGATCGAAAACGTGCTAATAACTGGCGATTTTAATGCCGCTCACTCTTCCTGAGAGATAGAGAAGACAGCACCAGGGGCAGAAATCTAGGACCTAATAATATCTCTGGGTCTGGAGGTATGGAACAATTGGGGCACTCCGACGTTCAGCACGCGAAACGAAAGTGAAAGCGTGATTGACCTCACCCTAAATAGGGGAAGTGGACTCGTTAGAGACTCTTGGAAAGCCGAGTTTACTGATGCTAGTGATCACAAGCTAATCAGCTTCACAGCAAAGAGTTCAGCAAACCCGGTCTCTGTAGAGAGGACTCCCAGGTACAGCGTCAGGGGAGCGAATATCAGAGGTTTCTCAAAAAGTTCAACACTGAACTTGAAAATGACCTAGAACTGGCGGTGGATGGTGATAGCCTGGAGAGAGCTGTGGACGGGCTTCACCTTGACATCATCACTACGAGCGGAGGTCTTGGACCTGGAACTGGGACAGTTCTTTCCTTTAAGAGGAAAAAGCAGCCCTGGTGGAGCGGAAAAGGATGCGGGCTTTAAGGAGGAGAGCGCAGAAGTGTAGCGAAAATGAAAGAGAGGGGAAGTGGACTCGGTACAGGGCGGAACTGGCCAAGTACAAGAAGAGGACACGGAAAGCACACAGAGGTCATTGGAGAGCTCAGTGTAGCAGGACACTGAAGGACGACAAGTATGGTTTACCATACAAGTTGGCCATGGAGAAACTTCGGAATCCTAAGGCCCTGAAGTTGTTAAGAAAGGAGGATGGATCGCGCGCACATGACCTCTCGGACACGCTGTCTCATATTCTGGACGTGAACTTTGGGGTGGGGCACCTGGAATGCGAGGATGTGTTACCAAGAAATGGGCGTATGGATCCACTCTTCACTGAGAGGGAGGTCAAAAGGACAGCCTTCAAATTTGGGAACAGAAAATCCCTTGGTCCCGATGGCATTGACAACACCATCGTGAAGGCTCTGGTGAGAAGATATGGGTCACTTCTCACCAGGTTATACAATCGCTGCTTGGAACTGGGTAGGTTCCCGAGGGCTTGGAAGGCAGCGAGGATTGCTTTACTCGAAAAAAGTGGCAAGTCGGGCGCTACGGCAAAGGACTATAGGCCTGTGTCTCTCCTATCATGCCTGGGAAAGGTAATGGACAGTCTTCTGGCACAAAGGCTGACAAGGTGGCTAGAATCGGGCGGACACCTTTCCAGTTCCCAACATGGCTTTAGGAAGGGACTGTCTACGACCACTTGCTTGGAGGGGATACTGGGCAAGATCGAGGAAGGAGTCGCAAAGGGAAACTGGGTGATTGAGATCTCCTTCGACATCGCGGCGCGTTCGACAACCCAAATTGGAACATGGTTGTGAATGCCCTCGATGAGAAAGGGTGTCCCTTTAACCTACTGACGTTAATAAGGGATTTCTTACGAGACAGGGCGGGTCTCAATTGAGGTAGGTGCAGTGGACATGCACAGAATAGTGTCAAAGGGCTGCCCTCAAGGTTCCTGCTGTGGTCCCATACTGTGGAATGTAGTGGCTGACACTATTCTCCGCAAGGAACTTCCAGCAGGCGCCTGCATGGTAGCCTATGCTGATGACAACTACCTGATTATAAGTGAGAAATCCCGAAGAAAAGCTGAGGCTCTAGCCAATAAAAGCATCGGTAGGTTAAAGGGTTGGCAGAACTGGTGAAGCTCAAATTTAACGTGGGCAAAACAAAGGCCCAGAGTTTTAAATCGCGAGATGTTCGAGCCAAACGGACTGGCGTCGAATATGACCACAATCCCATCTTGCAGCTAGGGGGTGAGAGGATTCAGGTGGTCAAACATGAAAATCCTCGGTGTAGTGGTGAACAATAAGTTGAGCTGGATGGACCACGCCAAGGATATAGGGTTGAGGGCTAGGTCTGCACTATCGAGACTATGCAGGCTAGCGCTTCTGAGAGGGGGCAGGGAAGGGGAGATTTTCAGGAGTCTCTACCTCAGCTGGTTGAGCCGATTCTTCTGTACGGTTCAAGAGCGTGGTGGAAGAGGAACCGCGATAGGAAAGTCGGAACAACTTTAGAGTCAGTGCAGAGAGTAGCAACTCTGAGGATCACTGGGGGTACTGTACTACTAGTACAGAGGCTTTACTGTGATTTCGGATCTGACTCCTGTTTCTCTAAGGCTGGAGGAAGAGAAACTGAGGCAGCTTATCTGGGTCGACAGGACTGAGAACGATTTGGGCATTGCGCCTGAGGAGCTTGAATGGGCGAAGGACCCAGATAAGGACGTGAACTGGGAACCTAGATGGAGGTGGTCAGAGGGCTTACCGTCTGGTAAAGAAATGGAGATATTCACAGACGGGAGCAAGTATGGTAAGAGAACTGGGGCTGGCATCGCCATTTTCAGTGATAGATCGGTAGTGGGCCGACAAACACTGAAACTAAGGCACGATGAGCGGGTGTATTCAGCAGAACTGGTCGCGATCAGAGAGGCTCTGATCTGGTGTAGGAGAGACCGTCTGCCTCCTAAGGCAATCTACTCGGATTGTATGTCCGCCCTCATCTCCATTTGCTTGGAGAAGGGACAGATGGCGCATGAAGTAGCGGATCTGCTAAGTGAAATGGATAGGCCCCCCGAATTGTACTGGGTCAAGGGGCACTCTCTAATTGAGGGCAATGAATTGGCTGATAAACTGGCAAAAGAGGGATGCTGGTCTGGAAGGGATGTGGTGACCCCAATTCCAAAGAAAGAGGTTTTCAAGAGTATCCGAGCGCATATAAATGGGTTGTGGAAGGACAGATGGGTGGAAACAAACGGTCGGGAAGCCTTTAAATGAATAGGAGATCCAAAAAGGAACGGTCAGATCCTCTCACACAAACTGAACAGGATGATTACGGGACACGGCCCGTTTCCTCTCAGTTTGGTATTAAAGCGGACGACAAATGCGTATGTGGGAGCCCTGGGGTGAACGCCAAACACTTTATAGTGGACTGCCAAGGGTCCCAAGAGGGGAGGGGAGAGTAGAAGGGTTAAAGGAGCAATTGAACTGGAGCTCCTGAAATCCCACTGGAAGTTATTGGAAAGAGCTCATGATATCGCTAGTGAGATCTTCCTCAACTGTTAGATGCCGCAGTTGACTACAGTGGATAGCTTGCCGATGATCTGGCGGAGAGTGCTAGTAAGGCTGAAAAGAAAAGAGTGTGCTAGCCGATGACCTAGTGGAGTACTGGTAAGGCTGAAAGGATGGGTCTAGAAACTCTTGGGTCTTCGCTCTGTGTTGTGCGCCATGGAAAACCAAGGGGTACACACAGTAGTACCACCCTCCAGCCTCCGCGTGGTGTTCCCGCGTCAACCTTGGAACCTCAGAGGTCTTGATTTGACGGCAGATTCAGGAGTACTGTGACTAAAGGGTACGAGGGCCAAAGGGGGGAGGAGTCCTATTGGAGCGTAGGGCGGATTAGACCAAGTCTGAACGGGAGGGCTAGGACAGCAACCTTGCCATGAACTCTCGGAGACGCCTGTGGGTTGACTGGTCGCGCCCACGGAGCCAGACCATAATGGCGGGCGCGAGGGGCCAAACAATGGCCGCTCGGTGCATGGAGAATGCACCATTCCTATGGCACGGTGGCTATATGGCAGCAGGGGTGCATGCTACGCATGCCGGCTTGTGGACCTTCGAGGTCTGGGTAGCCATTACTGCTCCATGGATGTTCCCGGGAGGTCCCCCTCTTGGAACATCGCCCAGGTCACCGATGCGGTTGAGGAGGCAACTGCTATGGGCTCGCCACTGACCGTCGTGGGGGTTAACCTTGAATCCGCCTTCAATTCCCTGGACTGCGGCTTCCTAGAATCCCTGATGTCCCTTCGCCTCCCTTCATAGGCTGGATCAAGATCTTGTACGCCGGGGCGGGCGCGACGATCTGGGGGGGGGATACCACACCACCGCCTTCCTCCTCCACAACGGCCTTAGGCAGGGCTGCGCCGTAAGCACAGCGCTGTTCAGCATCGCTACGGGGCCACTGCTACGTCGCCTGGAGTCGACCATCGCCTACGCCATTGTCCTCCTGATCCATCGCGACAAGCAGTTCGAGCAGGTGGTGGCCGTCCTCGAGGACTTCAAACGGGCCTCCGGCATCGGCATCAACCTCGGGAACGTTTTTAACAAAAAATGTCTGCAGAAACATCTTGATGAAGATTTTAAAATAATTAATATAGCAAATTATCTTGAGGGAGAAGCATTCAGTTATTACATAGAAGAATTACAAGATATTGATAATTGGAGGGATTTAGAACAAAAATTAACATCATATTTACAATAAAGGATTCAAATTTATTTAGTAGGTTTCTAAATTTAAAATATAATGAAAAAGATGATCTTGAACAATATTTTAAGGAAAAATCTGCCTTAACCAAAAAATTCAATCTAGTAAAAACACTTTTATTAGAGGCACTAACAGATGGAATGCCAAACCACCTCAAAAAATACCTAATAGCTGCAAGAGTCCAAGAACCCTCAGATTAGTTTAAAATTACAACCCAAATAAAATGCACCACAAATCAAGAAGAAGATTTCCAACAACCCTCTACAAGCACAAACAATAGACCATTTAATCCAGTAAGAAGATTTAACTCCAACTCCTCCCAAGCTCATCAATACCAGCCTTTTCCCAGGACAGCAGCAGCAACTCACCACCAGCAAGAACCCCACAACTCAATGAACCAGCCTCCATACCCTGCAAGATATGTTCTACAAACCAGATACCCAACCAAATACATTTCCATAGAGACTGCCCACTTAAGAAAAATAATCCTCCAAAGCCCATCAACCCAGGTAGAACATTATTGCTATTCTCCGTACTTATAAACCATAAATCTTTACCTTGTGTACTTGACACTGCATCATCTATTTCCATTATCCCTTTAAAATACTTAAACTCTATTATAAAATATTAGACAATTTCCCAAAAGAAAGAATAGGTCAGGTAGAAGGATTTAGTTACCCATTATGCTAAATATTAGTTAGGCTTACCTTAGGAAAACTTACAAAGTATCAAGAATTTTTTGTTTGTGAGAGTCAAATAGAATATCTTATATTAAGCTTACCAACATTTTATAAATTTAGGTTCTCCTCGAAGCCTGCTACAACCCCACCACAGGCGAACTTCTCCAAGTTTGTCCCGGAGTCTACAGCCCTTGAGGCTTATTCTTGGAAACCAAGCATCATCCCAATGATGCAACCCATCCCTCCAACCAGCGCCTCACTCAAACAATGTCATGTTGTCACCAGCGGCGCGCTGCCCAGCCCCTAAAGAAGTCATCAAAACCTAAACAAAAACCTCCACGCTTCGTGCTCAAAACCTAGCTCCAAGACGAAAGACAGCAACGAGGAACTCTCTGGGAGTCAGGAGGAAGATACTGTCATCTATTGGCGTATAAGCAACTCAACGAAGCGCTGAAAAATGCTCCCGACTCCCTATTTGAGAGTGCTGAAAAGGAGGGAAATCGCAATGGTTAAGATAATCGATGCCATCGCATCCGCTTCACATCTAAAAACTCTTATTGAAACCATCAATGTAGGGCAAGCAAAAGACTCTGCACACCTGATCGGTAAAATAATAACACTTGTAGAGGACAAGAACTGTACCGTTTACAAGAAGCTCACAACCTTTCAAGCAGCAAAAACTAAGATTATGTCATGAGCTTCCGCATGTCTAAATGTGCGGGGCATTGCTGTTCGAGCTAGGAGTGGGAGATGTGCTGCTTCCTTAAGCAACATGCAGTTGATGTTGCGTTTGTGCAAGAAACAAATATGCTGGCTCTGAATAATGCCCAGGACCTCTGCTTCGGCTACAGCGCCGTCTTCGCGCCAACATCAATTCCCAGGGGTTCCGGTTTCGCCGTTGTCGTGGTGACAGGAGTCACTGTCCTCTGGCACCTCGTCCTGAGGCCAGGCAAGATCACCATTGCCAACATCAACATCCAGAGCCTCGAGATCCATGTCATCAACTGCCACCTGTCCCACACTCCTCAAGAACAGAATCTCCAACTGAAGGTCATCGTAGAGGAAGCCATCAGGCACCTGCCTACAAGGGCTGCCAGTTACGGAAGCCGAGTAGACGCCGCCCGTCTGGATAGAGTTCTAATAACATCAAGACTTACTGGATGCGTCACCGGTTACTGGACCCTCAAATACCGCTGTTCGGACCACCGTGCCATCCTCCTCCAAGTGGGGGATCCCCCTTCACCATCTACGCCATCCATTTCCGCGCTGCTAAGATCAGTGTCAGTCATCGAGAGAGCTGAGGCGTCAAGCCAGCCTGTCTGCATCGCCTGCGGCGCCAGCAACCCCCACTTCAGAAATTACTCCCACACACTGTCTCTAATTCAACAGTAGCTGTTGAGACAATCAAAAACCTTTCCATCTCTAATCAAAGCCGAATGGTATCATTCAATGTCGAATCTTTATACACTTCAATACCACATGATGAAGCAATTTTAACTCTAAAAAAAAATATTGAGAGAGAGAGAGAAACCCATCAACACTCTGTTCTTCCTTTTTCATCTGAAGCTTTGATAAAATTGATTAAACTTTGCTTAGATTATAATTATTTCAGTTATAAAGACCAATTCTTCAGACAAATTAAAGGCCTGCCGATGGGCAACCCTATTTTATCAGCTCTAGCAAATATTTTCATGAATCAAATTGATCAAATTGTTACCGAATCAAAACATTTAAAAATAATTTTATTGCAAAGATATATAGATGACATTTTTTGTATAACTGAATCAGAAATTTCAATCTTTCTAAAATTTTTGAAAATCTAAAACCATTTTGAAGTTCACACACGAAATTGAAAAAAATAATTCTCTGGCATTTTTTGATATTCAAATTAAGAAAAACAAAATAAAATTCAAACTAGTATTTATAGAAAGTCTACACACACTGGAAACTACCTAAATTTCAATTCTTTCGGCCCAGTCCATCACAAAATTTCAGTCGTAAACACTCTCTCTAAAAGATTAACAACACATTGCTCAATGAAAAATGATGAAAATATGGAGAGAAATAGAATTTTTAAAGACCTAAAAAACAATGATTACCCAGATAAGTTAATTAAAAAAACACCTTTTTACACCTAATTTTGTACAATCAAGCAACAGCTCTGATCAATCAAAAAAGTTTTATCGCACCCTCCCTTACAGCTACGGCTCTGAACGCATTGCCAGAGTCCTAAAGAGAAACAATATAATTGCTACATATAAATCTTCATTCAATTTGAAAAAATTCTTACGCCACCCAGACACCAAACAAATTAGCAAATTAGAAAACAAAAACAATGTAATTATTGCCTCGCCAAATACATAGGAGAAACAAGCAAGCCTCTAAAAGATCGCATCAATCAACACAAATCTGGTTTAAGAAATTATAATCCATTATCACTCCTTGTAGACCACGCTTTGAAAAACAACCACACACCGGACTTTGATAAAACAGATATTTTACACCAGAACATAAATGACAAACATTGCCAATTATTTTTGGAGAGTTTGGACCTCCGCAGAAGACAAAGACAGTATAAATAGGAAAATTGAACTACCAGAGATATATTCGCAATTTAGATCGTCACAAAATATTTACAGTTTAATTTTTCATTTTATTACTTCAAATTCCCGATATTTTAGGTCTATATTTTAATTAATTTTATAGGGAGAGGTACACATTTAGAAGCACGTAAAAATGTTTTAATGCTCAAAACGCATTTTTCCTTTTATATAACTTTCTTTAAATTTATGTAACATCGTTTAAGTTTATTTCAAATACAATCACACGCTTATTTTATATATATGTATTATGTTATTATATATATTGATAGTTCAATGTCTTCAATGTTTTATTTGTGTGATATCGTTTTTTAAAAATGAAAAATTTTCACTTATATTTTATTTCACAATTTTACATTTAAATTTATTTTAATATTTTATTTTAACCAACTTTTCAAAACATTTTTTGCGCTTTGTGTTTTCTGTAAAAAATATTTAGTGTAACATCTATATATATAAAAATGAATGTATGTCTGTCTATCTGTCTGTGTGTGTGTTTTCAGAAATATGTCAAGTCACCTCTTTAGTCACCTCAATTACTTTTGATATATTTTATAGTTGTTATCTGAAGCTTGAAAATAAATTATTTTTATTTTATCTTATATTGATAAAGTTTGCACACCACGGTTAATTCTTTTATTTACCAAAAGAATCTTCGGTAGTTATGCCTCCCAAGCGTAAATCGATTGGTCGATCTACCTCTCAAGGACGATTGAAAAAGATATCACGAGCTTCAGAATCAGTTCAACAACGAAAAGCAAGGTTGGAAGATAATCGAATACAAACTGCTCAAGCTCGCTCGAATGAGACAGTTCAACAACGAAAAGCAAGGTTGGAAGATAATCGAATACAAACTGCTCAGGGTCGCTCGAATGAGACAGTTCAACAACGAAAAGCAAGGTTGGAAGATAATCGAATACAAACTGCTCAAGCTCGCTCGAATGAGACAGTTCAACAACGAAAAGCAAGGTTGGAAGATAATCGAATACAAACTGCTCAAGCTCGCTCGAATGAGACAGTTCAACAACGAAAAGCAAGGTTGGAATATAAATCGAATACAAACTGCTCAGGGTCGCTCAAATGAATCAATTGCCCAGCGGGAAACACGGTTGGGAACCAATCAAGAACGTAATGTTCGCTCCAGACGATCACTACATGCTGACTTGAACCTGGCCGCGTTCCATTATGATGCTGAATATGATTACAGTCTGCATCCAAGTGTTGTTATTGATAAAATGGACAAGTTATGCAAATTTTGTGTGATGCGTTTAAATTCAAGAATGAGACTCCAGGAATGTGCTGCGCAGGTGGTAAAGTGAAATTGCCTGAATTGCATTTACCTCCTGAACCTTTATCAACGTTGATATCAGGTGCAACAAGCCAATCAAAGCATTTCTTGAGAAACATTCAAAAGTACAATTCATGCTTTCAAATGACATCGTTTGGTGCAACAGAAATCATTCGGGACAATTACATGCCAACGTTTAAAGTGCAAGGGCAAATTTGCCATCGTGTTGGATCTCTTCTACCTCTGCCGGATTCAGATCACAAATTTCTGCAAATTTATTTCATGGGAACCACCGATGACCAAGTTAATCAACGCTGTTGATTCAATAGCAGCACAAATCAAGAAATTGTGTCTTCATTACAAAATTTGTTAGATCAACACAACGAATTAGTTCAACTGTTCAAGACAGCCATCGAGCGAATGCCTACTGATGATTACGTAGTTGTCATTAGAGCTGACAAAACACCAGCAGGTCAACATGAAAGGCGATTTAATGCACCAACAATAGATGAAGTGGCAATCCTCATAGTTTGCGAAGAACTTAATTCCCGCGATATAGTAATTCATCGCAGAGATGATAACGTTCAACGAGTATCTGAAACTCATCGCTCATATGATGCCTTACAATATCCCATTTTGTTCTGGCAAGGAGAAGATGGATATCACTTCAATATTAAGATGAGAGATCCAAAAACTAGTGCCGAGATCGATAAAAAAATCAGTGCAATGAATTTCTATTCATATCGGTTGATGAGTCGTGCCAACAGAGACAATCACATTTTGAAATGTCGAACATTGTTCCAGCAATACATTGTCGATATGTATGTAAAAATCGAGACCGAACGACTACTTTTCATTCGATTGAACCAAACCAAACTCCGCTCTGAAAAATATATTCATCTACGTGATGCAATTGCTACTGATGGGAATCCCAATGATCTGGGGAAAATCATCATACTGCCAGCTACATTCGCAGGAAGCCCACGGC